ATACGTGTGACCAAGACAAAAAGAAGAAAAAAGTTGCTTGAAGAATGTACACTAGAAACTCTATGAACAAACTTTTGTTTTGAAACAGTTGTTTAATCTTTGGAGGTGGTCACACCATTTCTGTGGCATTTTTTTTAAAACTCTTTCTTTTTTTTGGTATTTGACCGTTCGCAAACTCAAACTTGGACTGCGCTGTGTACACAGCTATTTGAAAATTCTACATGTACGCTTTCCCCCACCTCCTGATGGTGGTTTTCTACTAGTGTGAAAGTATTCATGATCAAATTACCTCCTGCAGTACCTGATCAAAAAGTGGTTACGTATGTGAACACGCATCCCTCTGTGTGTACATATGTACTGGTGTACATACATGTACATGTTCATTTATGTACACACAGAGGGATGGGTGTGTCTAGTTGTGGTTGATGAGTTCCATATCATTTGCATGACCATGATAACATGACTAGAAACATGAGAAGTACATGTACAACATTCGGACAAACAATGTACATGTACATGTCGGCTACATGTAGTTGTACATGTACTGTACATGTGTACTACTGCAGTCAGTACCGTGCAGTGTGGTATGCTTCAGCCCTTGCAATCCCAGTAGGAGATAGAATGAAGATAATTTTGGTCAGACTCTCTCTGTATACATTTGAATGGATATCAACAGTTTTTTTCTCCAAAGGAAAAAAAGGAAGTGCCCACTGTGTGTAATTCACTTAAGTTGTAAGTGGTTGGATTGATAAGAATAACTAACCAAAAAGAAAAGAGTGACAAATAATACATGTACATGTATGGTCCCTGTACATGTACGTTTCATTCGTTTGGTTTTTGATTTGAAAACGAATATAAAACAACTTAAAAACATGTCGTTTTTCATTTTTCAATTTAAAAAAAAAATCAAAAAAGAATTAGTCATTTTCCCATTTTTGATTTGAAAATGAAAAAGAGGGAAGGATGAAGAAATTGTTGTTTGTTTCTCCTGTTGAAAACAAAGGCGAAAGTAATCTTGCTTTAAAGGTTATTCCAATTGTCGTCCAACTACACACGTACAATTCTGAGGAGGTGTTATGGATGTCTCAGAGCACTTCTCAAGATAAAAATTGTCTTCAAGCATGCCAGAAATTTCCTTGCGAACTGTTCCTCCTTTTACTTCAGAAGCAACAAATTCCTCATATTGCTCTAATTCAGCCAAGTTTGATTCAATGGCCTACAAAGATATTTCTCACATATACATGTACATGTATACACAATGAGTAATGGAACTGTTTTTCATTCTTAAATAATGGAGTAACAGATCACATTTGTGTTCATTTTCACATTGAAAATAAAAAAGAATACGATTATCGTATTTGGTTTTGAAAGGAAAGACAAGCTCTTCATTGTTACATCCAAAAATAGAAAATGACTTGTTTTTGGTTTCTTTGTTTTCATTTTCAAATCAAAAACAGACGACAACTTGTTTTTTAATTTCCATACAAGACATTCACCCCATTTTAATTCATGTTGTATATTGTATCACCGGTGCTGTTGAAATTACAAGTTCAATCAACGCTCACACATGTAGTTATTCCACTTTAAAAATTTGCAGGATGATACATTCTCACTTGTGTGATTATCCTAATTGTTCATTTCTTGTCCCAGTTACTAACTCTGAACAAAAGTCTGTATTCAATCCAATCCTTGTTTGAATGGGCTTATCAAAAGTAAAGCAGACACCCACCAATAATGCCACTCAGGTCCACTAGATTTTTCATGTACTGCCTACTAAATACAGTACCTTCAAGGCTTCAAGGACGTCAACAAAACCGAAACTTGTGACAGTCATACATGTATCTGCACCAAAAGCCAGGTTTTTTTTTTCTTTCTTTCTTTTTAATTGGTGCAAGTTGTTGGGTACAAACCCATGTAGAGGACAGACCTTGAACTTTTACTTCATGCACAGTCTGCCTAATAGGAGATACTGTACAGCTTTTCTGTTGTTCACTCTCATTTTGGGGCCAGGAAGCCTCTGGCATGGCTCTGCAGGATGCCCCACTACCTCCCAAGGCCCGGTCTGGGTGAACAGGCGCTCACACACACACACATAGGGCTGCTGTGATTCTAGGACATTGCTTGTCAGGGATACGTAATTGTTCCCTTTAAGGGAGATATTGCACATAATGCACGTATGCTTGTTTGATATACCGTACATTGTACCTGCAGTCAGTGTCATTACTTTTTCAATGCAATGCCATTTAGAAAAAGATATGTATATTTTTGTCATCAAAGTGTTCAAGGTGTCATGTACACAGTGAATAGTCCATACCATCTTTGAACGAAATCACAATATATGTAACCAATTTTAGATAGAAATGTGGCAGGGTGGGGCGCTTGGAGGTAGGGGCCTCCTTGGGTTACGAAGGGACGGGGAAGGACTGAATCGGCACCCAGATCCTTGGGACTCGAAGGATGTAGGTAGACTGAAGCAGGATTGTCAGCTTGCCTCGTGTATAACAATTTATTTCATCTGCCACACCGTTCAGCCTACACCTGTGGATGTCAGGGCAGGCGACTCAAATGTTGTAGAAAACATGTACGTTATACAAAAAAATAATCTAAGATACAGTTTGAGAAAAAAGGAGCAATGCAGTTTGGAGTTGTGAAATACATTTACATTACAATGATGTGTGATTATGCTTCCCACAGCGGCATTATAAAGACCCACAAAAATTATAACCCAAGTCGAAAAAGCGACGTACGCCCGGGGCCTCATGTCTACATGTACATGTGCACGGCATTAATGCTACATGGGCCTACACAGTACCTACACACTTGTACAACCATCGCCAAAGTTCATTTTTAGTTAAACTTTTCAAGCCCAAAATATCACCATTTTTTCCACCGAAACATGACTGAAATTTACATTAGAATGATCCATGATCTTCTGCGGTTATATTGACATAGGACCCCAGTCATTACTTTCCCAAACGAAACATGAATTATTAGCACCAAAATCGATCTATAATTATGACAAAGTTACCTGTGGATCTCAGGGCAGGCGACTGCAGGAGCCTGCACACGTAGTAACTTAGCAACAATAAGTATGATGTAATGGTTAAAAAAGAGCCTAATTTTCCTGTACCTAATTCCTGTAAGATGTTATGATAAATGACAATAAACCCATCCTGGTTAGATATTTGTTTGTAAAAGTATGGAAATTTTACAATCGCACAAAATAAAGATTTTCTTTCCAAAAATAAGTACTAATAATAGTGATGAAATGTGCTTATTTGTGCTGACTCCAGTAGTTAATGAAAATAAACACGGAACCCGGCTTGTGGAACTAACGGGATGACCTTGAAGGTAAAATATCGACCAACAAATTATGTCTCTGAGAAAATAATACTAATCCATTACACTCTAATAAATAATCTAAATAATTACAAAGGGAGCATTTACCCCCCTTACAGAAACAGAAGAAATTTAGTGTTTTGTTTGCAGAGTAAGCATACATGTAAAATGGCCCAACCTAAAAAGTCAGATATCAGCTACACATGTACATGTATTAAACAGCTACAAATAACACTACAGGTACAACTACAAAGAGTGTAGCATTTGATTGAAGTCAATTCCTAACAATTTACAGATCATCCCTGTCCCTGCAATGCATGTTTGTAAATCAGCTTCCATTAGATTACTGTGTTTGGACTTTGAGTGCATCTTTCACTCAATAAAAAGAATTTTTTCTAGGTTGAATTCTTGGATTATCAAGCACAGCGGTCCTGCATGCGCTCATTTCCTCCGTTGTGTTGACATACATGTATGTGGTGTATTTATAGGGTTGTAAATTACGTGGAGTACATGTGCATGTATAAACTGGTAAATTAGGCTGATGGCTTTATTTGTTAGGTCCAAGTGAGTTGAAGTTTCCTTTGTCATGTGGATAGTTAATTCGGGTATTTCCAAACATGTACACTGTCGGCCTACATGTAGTGCTTGAGGAAATGACGATGACTAGTGTGTGGTCACCCGTGTAATTAAAGGTCAAGGGATGTGTTTAACCCGCTTGAAAATATGAACAGAGTTGTCCAAATACACATACAACTGTACATGTACATCTTTTCATGACCCCTTGTGAAAATTTCTTCAAACAGTGGCAAGTAGTTTGACCTTGTCTAATTGTATTAGATTGTAAAGTGTTTTCCTACAGTGCTTTCTATGTGGTGCAAATAAATATACAAAGTATAGTTCCCTAGGTGCTGTACTTTTCCACACATGTATTTAAAAATCAACTAACCTTGTCACAAATTGATCGACAGTACCTTTTTTTTGTTTAGATTTTGTCATACAAAGGATAAAAATCTGGTTTTTTTGTCATATAAAAATATGAATGACTTTTATATTTGTATACTGTATATGGGAACGCACATGTTATGTTCTGTTTCCACCAAAGATTTTAATGTACAGCCAACAAACATGCATGCAGGGTAAAGTTGTCAAGTATCAGGTACATGCACCAGGATGTATCTCGTCAGGGTTTGTTTGCCATTAACTCCCGTAAAGATGTGGCTTTATACCCTTTTTAAAATTCCAAGATATATTTCCCTGACTTAACCCCCCCCATGTACATGTATGGTGTCTTTATCTTCAAGCTGAGACCAGGTGCACACCACCAAAAAGCTCATTATTGGATAGATGTCAAGTTATGATATTAACGATATCATCTATCATGTCAGCTTTAAGGAGCTGCACAATTTGTTTTGATAGGACACGCAAGTGATTGCCAAGATGATGAAGAAGACCCTATGTACATGTAGTTATGGTTACATACATGCACATTTTCATAAAACATACATTGCACATGTAATGTTGTTATAAATGCTGTAAATTCCTATCCCTGTCAGGGGATTGTGTTTACTAACATGGTTTCAAGAAAAAAAACGAGAAGTGAGGTTATGGGTATTGTAAACGTGACATTTTTCCTGTATCTTTCTGGCTTGATTCCCTCACAGCTAGCGACTCAAACGCATCCAGTGCCTCGCTCTCCCCTAACAAAGGAGGTAGGCCAGCGTCATCCCCCGGCATTAATGACCATCCCACTATCTCCTTGCAACGCCCAGCAGGTATCGTGGTCACGCCCGCTGGTAGCTCAAGCCCAGAGCCAGAATCACCCACCAAAGAACAGGTACATGTATACATACATTGTGATGCGCTGTACAGAGCTATACATGTGGATGTTTGCGTGCTTGCATGGAGTGGGATATTGTGCATTTGATGCAGAGTGCGCATAGCATAGTTCCAGATGTACATGTTCTGCCTATTGCCTGAGCAAATATTGCTCTTGAGCGTGCCTCAGCATGCTAGGTTGTGGTAAGATATATCGGACAAATACTCAAATAACTGCCAAAGAAGTAAAAAATTTGGGTCAAAACTAATACCATCCCAAAGTGGTTAAACTTGTTTTTTTTTTCACGTTTCAAGCAGAAATGGGATTATTTAATATAATAGTATTAGTTGTTAAACTTTAGTACATGAGATGTGAAGACTTCTTTAAAATTTCAAGTACTGAAATATCATGTAATTCACTTGAAGTATTCTTACATATTTACAGCTTGCACACAGACTGTCATCTCCAGAAGTGGAAATCTTGAATGTGAGGCGGATTCTGCTTTGTGGAACGTTGGAAAGTGAACTGAAATACGTCCACACAATGGAGGAACTCCAGAAGGTATGAGGAATTGTAGGGGCCAGACTAGGTAAAAGTGAGAATGGGTGATGGGGATGAGGGAAGGGATACGTGTCCAGATGAAAGAGAGTCCTCAGATGGGGTGAGACATGAGTGGGCAGACTGGGTGATAATGAATGAAGGCAGGTAGGGGCAAGGGAAGTAGTGACAAAGGACCTTCTGGTGGAATGGGACAGGAGAATGCGGGGGGGGTGTGGGGACAAGGAAAGTGAAATACATGCATGTACCTGGATGAGGAAGGCAGTGCTGTGACTAGGGGGAGCCAAGTTCCCCTTCAGGCCTGTTCTCCTTCCCCCCCCCTAGAAATTTGAAAAGGACAAAAATTCAGTGATACTCTGCCTTGATCAGTGTTTTAACTGTGAGAAAATGAGGAGTGTTTCCAAAATATGAGGGGCCCTCTGAAATTATACCCCCCTGCAAAATGTACCCAAGTTTTGCCACTGGAAGAAGGGCTTCCAGATGGTATGAGATGTTAGTGAGCAGAGGAGGTGACAAACAGGTAGGGATCGATGCATGCAGCGAGAAGTGAAAGTAAAATAAAAGTAAACGGTTTGGAGGTATTGGATGGAGAGGCTGGAATGTCATTTGGGTTCGGCCAAATATTTCTCAAAAGTGAGAGACAGTGGTGGCCAAACAGGGTAAAAATGAGTGTGAGATGGCATACTTGTACATGAACGTGCTTGTATTTATGTAATATTTGCACAATGTACATACATCACTGTCACCTTTTTCTGTAACCTTCTTCCTACTCTTGATGTTTTATATGATTCCCTCTTATCCGTGTCATTGATTAATGTGAAACCAAATTCACCGGTAACATGAGGAGTGCACATGCATGCATCTGTCTTTTATACTGAGCACTCATTAGCAGGAAGGACAGAGCGTGAATATAAGATCAAGTGACAGTTTTAGTGATGAAGTGAAAATTATGGATGTTTAGAGGTGAAAGACTGGGTTATTGAAAATTCATATTACAAATGAGTTCCTCTACATGTACTTGTAGATAAAAACTAAAATCATTGAGTAGTTTCCTATGGAAACCAAGGCAAGTTCTGTCCGTCATGAAAACTTCTCCAAATGTGTAAGCATGTAATGATTACTGTGTGTTTTACTGCTTTCCCTGATAAACATTTACGTGACAATGTACATGTATATGTTAATGGTCCAATGGTCATAGAGTTACACTTATCTGAAAATATTGCAGGGTACCTGTTACTTTTACTTTTGAATGTTAAAAATGTGCTGAGTTGTCAGTCCCTTACACGTGCACGTTATATTGAATTATTAGCATAGAATGTGTGGGTTAAAGTGCATGTGTATTTTTCTAGTATTTCAGTAGGGTTGACATGTTGCACATGTTGATAAGTGAGAAAACCGTTTTAATGCAAAATAACTGCAAAGACTGCTTTTAAAGATATTGGACAAAACAATAAAGATGGACGCATGTACTGCCAGCTTGGATTGTACATGTATATCTTGATTGTTGGTTGGGAGATTTGGGAAAATGAGCTTTCTCCAAGGTTGATAAATCAGTCATTTGATTCATTGAAATAGAAACTGAAAGAGACTGATTGATCAATTACTGTACAGCCCCAGTTCTTACTGATGGTCAGGTTGACTCACTTAAATCTAAATTCATTGAATTCGGTGTTAAAGGTTATGCATTTTTTCGGAGAAAATTTTCCGTTTTCACCATGTTAGCCTCTGACAGAGAGGTACAGATGTGTAAATTGTTGATGGAATGAAAAAAAACCTTGCCTGGTATGTAGCGCTGTTGGCCATATGGCATAAATGGCTGGTACCAAAGTCCACCGTCAATGAATTCCAAAGTCCCCAAGCTCATGCTTGCATGTATTTCCCAGAATATGATTATTTTTGTCTGGCGCTGTGATGTATGCATGATGTGGTTTCTTCCAGCATTGAAATTTGTTACCTTTGATCCATGTTAACTATGTTTGCATTTGAAGTGCATTGTGGGAGCAGATATGGATGCAGCATTTGTTGAGAGAGAATTGTCTGATGTAATCAGTGCCCCCCCCCATTTGCTATCTTTTGTCTGTCAATCATCAACAGTCTGGGTCATCAGAAGGGGCTGATTTCTCTTGACAGGCTGGTAAAGATGCATACAGTGTATATTTGTATGCAACTCCTAAGTTTCAGTTGATAAACAAATTAACTTGTGTTGGAAAAAAAACCCAATTTATTTGTTTTTATACTTGAAGCCTATTCAAGTGTTAAGCATATCCCTGACCCCGTAGGATGTTTGTAAAATCACGTTGAAATGGGAGGATTTGAGACCACTAGGGTTGAATCAACTAGTTTTAGCTCCACTGATTAATTAGCCACAAGTGTGTGAAATGAATGTTACAGATGTTACACATTATGATGTGGCATTTTGACCTTTGGTACAAATAAGTGTGAACCTCTGTGTTGTTGCTTTGTTTAGCTTTTTATACAATTAGCCACAAGCATGTGAAATGAATGTTACAGATGTTACGCATTGTGACGTGGCTTTTTGACCTTTGGTACAAATAAGTAAACCTCTGTGTTGTTGGTTTGTTTTATACAAACTATGTTGCAGTTTGTCTGAGTCTATTCTATCCAGGCTTGAATTGAAAGTTAGATAAAAGTACCCCTGTATAGTCCAATTTTGTTAATTGAAGCTGTTACTGAATACATTTTATGTTACGGATGTTACATGTATAGAAATATTCATATAAAGAAAACAACCACTAAGAATTATTTCATTAATAATAATTATCCATATGGTATTGGCATGACATCCCCTCAACTTAATGAATCTGAGGTGTTCTAATAAGCAGTAGCGGAGAAAAAAATTTGAATAATCAAGTTTCAACTTCCGCAGTCATGTCACAGTTGGTATGGAATTGTCCATATGTGTGTAATACATGACGTTTGAGGCAAACTTGAAACATGAAACTTTGTTACTTATGAAATTAACCGTGGCCATTTCAAGTCTTTCAAAACCTCACACCTGATGTTTTTTAAATGATTTTTATTGGATTCAGAATTCCATGGACTAAACATTGTTTTTTATACTTCACATGTTTGGCTTGGAATATTTGAGGGTTGACGACTGGAAAAAATGTCAGGAAAGTCAGGGATTATAACATCCCAACATTCTTGTAGTTTTATTTTTCAGATTCTTTTTTTTTTATTTTTTTTTTTAGTTAGATTACTTGCAAGTAGCAGGAAATAACACCTCACCTACAGATCAGGGTTAAAATGTACATGTATGTGTTCCAGATAGATTTCAAATTTTGATTTTTGATTTGATTTTGTCAAAAAGCTCATGATATCTGATAGTGTTTTTAGCATTTAGACTGAAAATGTAACTTGTCCACAAAGAAAGGAAAAGTTAATGTATCCGGTTTTATCATGGACGCTAAAAATCAAAAAGGCACCTCGGCACTTGAAAGCCGAATTTTCTGTCTGCTGTACAAATCATTTTTCTTTCATTCTGCCATAATTTTTTTCTCACTGCCCCCTTTCTCCCCTCCCCCCATCCATCTATCCATTCCATCAGATGATGAAGACCTTCAAAGCCAACATGACCACCTCCAAGCCCATCTTATCCGCCGAGGATTACGATACCCTGTTCTTCAAGATCCCCGAACTCTGCGAGGTGCACCGGGAGTTCTGCAACCACATGGAACCCAAGCTGGCGCAATGGACCCCCGAGCAGACCTACGGAGACTCCTTCAAACTTCTGGTGAGAGGATCGGCCCATGAGCCAATACGAGTAGTAATATTCACCTGTTAAAACTTCACCAACAGTTACATGAAAAACCTAGATGTGTAGTAGATTTGGTTTAATCACAGCTGGACAAGGAAACCCAAGCACAAGATCATTCATAGACATGACTGCATGTTAGGGACAGTGGTTTTATGTTACCGTACATCACTGACTGATCATGGCCTTCCAGTTGGAATATACATCTTTTTAAATCCCGCTTTTTTCATCGCCTCTAATAAAGATACCGTACATATAGCTTTTTATCCACAAAATTTACAAGCTTGTAGCTGCTTAGCTAATCACCGGTCAGATTCATGCTTCTGACTCCTGTCATAGCAGGCCATAACTGAAACCTTGAAGCACTAAATATGGGACTTTGGACTTTACATATGCATATGTGGACTTTCCTCTGCAAACAGGGAATCCCAAAGAATGGTTCACACAAACACTGTACTGTCCATTTTGGAAACGGCAACTCCCAGCTGGTGGTATTCATAACTGACATGGTTTTCAAGATGATCACTCCTGGCTCAATGATGCTTTTTATGATATCTTTATTTGCTTGTGGTGATACAGAGACATGCCCCATTAAACAAGAGCAATCAAAATTGTCAGCGGGGCAAAAAGGGTTGCTTTTCAGCATGTTTCAGTGCATAGACACTGTCAGCATCTCTTTTGAAAGAAAGATGAAATGCTTGTTCTGTTATTTCAATAGAGTTGATCAGACTGAAAAGTGGCACGAACTCAGTTTGGATTTCTTATATATCTGTGGCTTTACGTTATACTGATAGTTGTCATTTTATGATTCAAATAGAGAGTAATTGCCTGCACAATACGGGTGATTCACAATAATGCGCCACCAAGAGTTTGCAATGTGTTGGCCAATCACAACGTGCAAAGTTTGTCAACCCTTTCGAAATGCGCATTTGGTCCACAGACTCTTGGTGGCGCACTATTGTGAAGCGGCCTCACTTTGGGGGGACGAAGCATAGTCTTCCGGAGGGATTTTTCGACCGCATGTCTTTGCGAGTGAGCTTCTCAGGCTGGGAATGAGGAAGCAACTCCAATTGCAAAGCACGGTGCCGTGCCACGCGCACCCAGCTGTGTCAAGTGCCATTTCTCAAATGCTCAAACATCAAATTTTGCGGCCACTTCCAGGCCAGCCATTTTGGGGTGCATGAAGAGTACATAGCCAACTACAAGAAGGCCATGAGCTGCCTGGAGAGGTTGAAGAAGGAGGACGAACGCTTTGCCGCCATCTCAGCCAGCATCAAGCTGCATTCTGGCGACACCTACACCATGGAATGTGAGTAAAGACAACCCTTGTCATCCTGAGGTGTGATTTGGGAGGATTTTCTTTGTGACTCCCAACAACAAAAGTGCAAAAATTACTAAACCATAGCTGTTTTGTGAGAGTTCATGCCATTGTAGCCATAAAGAGCTCTGAAAATCCATGCTTTATTTTCTTTTGTTATTGTTATAAATAAGCACTCTGCTGGATTTTTTGGGGGGGTTCATTTCTTTCCCAAATGTGCCATCCCCTCAGCATCATATGACTAGCTGTTATAGCATGGTCAAAATGCAACTGTGCCTATCAAGCACCTTGGGTTTGTGCACATTTGTTTTTACAGTATGTTCCTGAAATCAGTGATGTCATGCCACCCATAGGCAAATTGTGAATTAGACATGTGCTGGATCTCAGTTACCATGCTACGTGCGATACTGTAACTAAACCAGCAAACGACAAGTGTCCAATCCCCTACGTGTTGTGTTACAAGACATCTCAATGGTTTCCCTTCAATATCAAACTTTCAAAGCTCAACCTGAGGTTTGAAAAGAAATTAATAGCCTCGTTGTCAGCTTCAGGCATGGGGGGGCAGGCACAGTGCCAGCCAGTGGGGCACATCGCAGAAACAGCAGATAATGTTGATACTTGTGATTTTTTGCCGGAAGGGGGGGCAATAGCTGCTTGCCAGGAGAGAGGGCTGGCTCCTCTGGCCTGCCCCTTGGCAATGGGCCTGGAAACAAGTTTTCAACATATTCTGTGAATATTGTCAGTGTCACAGTGGGTCAGTTAGTTTTTCTTTTGTACTTGCATGCAAAAGTCTCGGGTCTACTGACAGTTTCAGATATACCAAGCAGGCATACCCCAACCTGCAGTTATTCTCATAAGCCACATTAGTTCAACCATTTTTGCGACCCTAGATCTGCCTTTTCACAAGTTTTTCCCCAAAGCATGATGGAAAAAGTCCAGGTATAAACAGAAAGGAGGAAGTAAATCACATCATATTTACTAACCTGAAATAAGAATGCCGACTCTCAATGGGTGACTATTTTTCCCTCTGCGTAAATAGTAGCAGGAAGTAAATTGTTCAATATAGAAGAATGGTTTTTCTGAAAAAAAAAGCAGTCTCTTTTGTTAAGATGTTTTGGACAGCGCAAGCTCTATTCACAGCCCAGTGCAATAGAGTTCAGAGGGGATTTATGCAAGTAAAAACTGCTTGGCGTTGGTTTTGTGACGTTTTTCCCCTTCAAAGCCAGGACATCACAAAAATGTGCCCCTGTGCTTTGTGCTCTGCAATGCAGCAGAGTTCCTGTCCTGATTGTGGTCCTCGGCAGACTTGCTGTAATTGTGCGCATGTGTGCGCCAGTATGCCTGGCATGGCATCGGGCATTGTTCCGGTGGGTGTTGCCCAGTTCTTACCAACCATTCAGGTGCATTTTTCATTTTGAAAATCTCTGGGCACACAATGATCCTGGAACTCCTGCCTGGGGCCAAATGTTGCTTGGTGTTCCGTTATTTGGAGAATGGTTGCAACACCATTTCGACCAATTTCCAGAAATTTCCAACTTGACTTCAGGATCTCAATCACTTTATAATTCAGTCAACACTGTTCCGTCCCCTGCCCCACCCCAGTCCACCCCTCCCTACCCCCAAGAAAGCTTTGGAACATTCAATTCACATTTGGAGTATTTCAGAAACAAATGCTGCCAGAGTGCAAGGGTACAGGCAGATCATGTACATGCATGTAGCACAAGAAATCTGAAGTGCACGTCCTGTACGTGCATGAAACCAGGCAGTCTTTGCTCAGACAAAATGTGCAAGAAGTGAGAAAAACGGGCATACAAAAATATGTATTGTGGAGACTGGGCAAAGTCCTCACAACTTGGTCCAAATTTTTCCAATGTTAAAGTCACTCCCACAATTTGGAAGGTGCCTGCCTAGGCATTACAGACGGCACATAATGTACATGTGCGGTCACACTTGGGCAGTGGTGCAGAAAGTCTCTGCTCAGTTGATTTAGAAGTTCCAATGCAATTTAAGTTTAGCTGTCACTTTCATTGATTTGTGTTCTTCACATGTGTTTAATTGCCTTTAATACCTCCACACTATTTCCAAGTGCAACTTCATGCCACCATCAATCACTGGTATATTTGTCATTTCTCTCCTGGAGGAACCATTCAATTGTGCTTTTCAACCTTGGGCCTTACCCAGCCATGGAGCCCATTGTTCTCTGTTCAGAAAAGTGTGAAAAGATACCTACATGTACATACAGGTATGTACACAGAGGTATTTCCTCATACAGTGTACATGTACATGTACATAGTGTTCATGTACATGTACATAGTGTTCATGTACATGTACATGTATGCACACCTTGCTATACTGCACTGTACAGTACATTTATGTAGACATGCATTAGCAGTGAACACATGCTTGCACATAGGATACTGTAGATGCTGCTTTCAGCCTGAGCAGTTTGATAGTGACAAAATAGTTTTTATCTTTGCAAAATTATATTCTGTTCTGTCGCAGGGAATCAAAAAAGATGCACGTTATGGGGACAAAACACATGTGGAGAGACAGACGTTATGGAGGCCTAAACATTAGTCCCAAATTCCTAACAAAAGAATTTGTCCTCTTCATGACGTCAAGGCCTACCTACATATCTGAACTTGCACGCGTGATCGTGTTACATGTACATGTTTTAAACTGAGCAAACTAAAGTCACCATGCACTGGAAACTTTGCTAGGTCGTACAGTGTACCTCATAGGTTTGATGGTTGAGGCCATGGGTGTATTATTGTACATGTACATGTACCTGCTTTCCAGCCGTGGCTATTGTTCAGACATCAACCTTAAACTCCCTTTCAACCATGTCCCACTGGCGCATTGTCACAACAGATTTGTTGATATTTACATGAAATGGATGATAGGCCCTTTGGCCTGGCATTTTAGGAGTTGTCTAATATTTTTGAAGTGCTCATTATATTGTACACGTATGTTCGTACATATAAAATGGAAAGTGAAAGTAAGAGCATAGTGAATAATCATCAAGCCAAAAGGATTACTTTAGCTGACCATTTTGAATAAATTTAGGAATGATGAGTATTTGAGTACACTAATTGACATTTGTACAACCAATAATGAAAGCCAGAGATGAACAGATCATGCAGTGTATGATGTACATATCAATGGAAGCACCGTCGAACATGTTTTAACAATTTGGAGATACAGTGGAGCTTGGTGTCCGAACACTCAACGTCATACTCTAGTGACTGAATGCCCAGACAAGGGCTTATAGTTCCCACTGTATCGGTACTATGTACAGTCAACATCTTCAACGTGAAGGGAAGGGATTTCACAACCAACACAGCCAAACTGACGCATGAATCTGTGTAAAATGACGTGAGGGATCTTTCTGAACAGAACAGTCCCTCCGTTCCCCATTGTTTCGGCTTTGCAATCGAACGTGGATCCCCAACGAGGAAGAGGAAAAAAAAACAAAGAGAAGAAAACTTTCATTTTCTGTGAAGAGGAACTCGATGGATAGACAGCTGGTGAAATAAATGTATTTTGCCTGTCATAATGTGTTTGGATATGTTTAATGTGCATTTACGTCATAACCACATGATCAAGACGTTTGGCATTGATACTGTACATGTTCTTCTTCCTGCCCAGTACTGTGCCATTCAAGGTTACTGTCAACCGGCATGACGCCAGTGCGTCACTGTATGAACAATTTTTAGGAAAAGACAGCATGTGTGTACGTGTACAATAACATAACATTGCATTGGACTGGATCAAGATAATCCATGCAGGCAAATGATTCACCTTTTCTTATGCTAGTTTTACAACCATGACTTTGCTGATTTCAGAGAGCCCATCGAGGAGAACCCAGTTTTCATCATTTAAATAGACCCTTGCTCCCTCTATAGGTCACATTATACAACACCTGTTTTGCAGACATGACACTTGTACTGGCTCCCTGGTTTAACTGACCAGATTCAGTACAAGTTGTATGTTACCAGTTTCTCATTGGCAGCATACATGTACATGTACCTGTCCTCAATTTTGCATCAATTTCTTACAACGCAACTAGGCACTTGAAATCGGATGATGCCTCACAATTCCTGGGGTAAGCGATCACTCTCTCATCCAGGTCCTCGTCTGTGGAATAAACTGCCATTCAATATTGGTTTTGCCCCTTGGCTTTGAAGACATTTTTGTTTCAGAATAGCTGGCATTTCTATTTAGTTTGATGTCTTGGTTGTCTTGCAGTCTTAACGTCGTGTTTGGCAGATATCTGCACATTATGAATGTTCATTATTATAAAGCTAGATATGAATCAAATTTTGTTTAACACTGCTAGTAGTAGAGTCAGCAAGCCACTGTTTGTTCATGCAGATATCTTTGGCTACATTCAGACCAGCCTTGATTTGTTTATTGGCCACCTAAGCTGGATTTGAACCGCCTGTCAGCAAAGGCAGGCCACTCAGGTTGAAGTCAACCCCACCATTTATTATTATGTGCACAGGCCTCTGAGGCTAGATTTCAATCCACCATGACCTTATGCTGGGTTTGTTTAGGCAGGATCAGAATGCACCGTTTACGTGCCCCGAGACCGGGTTCAAAAGCACCATTTACATCTTCATTGGGCCATCACCAGGCTGGCTTTGAGCTGGAAGTTTAACTTCACTAAAATTTCTGTCACAGTAGCACAGTAGCATGTTTAGGCTACCACCATTTGCCATTCAAAGTGAAGCACAACATCAAGTCAAGGTCTTCCTCACCTTTGTGTAAAGCAAAAGGAATCCTGCTGTTCTGTCATAGCACATGTACATGTACATATTTCAGAGTGAGTAAGCACATTTTTGTGTCTGGAAAGCTATTATTATTCATTTCTCTCCACTGTCATGTGATCTAAATCAGTTATCCTTGGACCAATAATATCTATCGTAACTGCTTACATACTCATCACTGCTCAGCATTTGTCCCACTGGTTTTGAATCCAGAGACTTGATTTTTTTTACACTGATCAGTTCTCTTTTTTGCAGCTGCAGCTTGTGAGATGATCATTCCTCAGTCATAGGGTCACATACTTTTGACCAAATGAATGGAATCAGCATGCTGTGTATAGAGTGAAACTTCTTTGAGAAATGAAAGAATTTTCTCAAAGCTGAATGGAATTATCTGTTCTTGAAAAAAATCATGAGGGAAGGCTAGCTATCAGTTCCTGTTTCACAGTATTATCTATTGTCATATGCACACGCTGCATTGATACCTCATGACCTCGCCCTTTTTTGTCTGATTTTTGAAGTTGAAAATGTTGACCTGCTCGCGTGGAGGAAGGTATCAGGCAGTTTTTCAGTTTCTGTTCCAAAAGGATAATAATTGTAGCCCCTTTTCAAATCCTGGACCTAGTTAGGTGCGGAAACACAACGTCATGAACGTGATTTTTCGTACGTGCAAATTCTGAATAGTTATATCAGGGTGCGGACTTTGGACTCGTGCTCAAAAAGAGCTCTCTGGTTTTTTTTGAAAATTTCCAACAGCGATGTTCTACACTCTGCGTATGTGCATTGATTCACATGCACGTGCTGAGGAAGTGCAACTGATGAAGTACATAGCATATGAGGGGGGGGGCAGACTCCATCATGTGCATGCTGTCAATATGGTGTTCAAGGGTCGATTGTTGTGGTTGACACACGTCACAAGACCAGTCACCAGTGAATATTAACAAAGGACTGCTTTTGTTTGCAGTTCATTTGAATATACATGAACACGTAGCTTGACTTGAATTCAGACTGGATGCTGTGTGATTGTCTCAATTTTGGGGTCTTGTAACGGTCTTCAGTATCTGGTCTGGACTGCGTCATTGCACACATCCTAACAGAATGTGAAATTTCCTGGGTGGACTTGCGGCAGTGAGTCAAGCACACTACTTGCTCGTTGAAACTGCCATGGCACACTAATTCCCAACGTGACGTCTGCGTAGATGTAGGTCTTTGAAATTTATAAAGATGCGGAAATTGCTCATTGTGACAAAGTTTGGGGGAATCTGGCGCAACGCCGTCCAGAGATACCCCCGAAAATGTGGAAATTAGTGCACAGCTGGGCAACATACTGAAATATTAATATAAGCTATCAGTCTTGTTTTATTGCATGCAAAACCAGAAGTGGTATGGCTAAAAAAACTGAACAGGTTTCCTCAATTGGCTTATTTGCATATCAGTATGATATGTATGCTGGTACTAGGCTTAACAAATTATTCAAAAGAAATCAAGAATATGATGGTTGATGTCCTTTTCACATCGGGTAAATGTAATCATTTTCTTTCTTTTGTATCTATTTTTGCTACCTACAGCAATGTTGAATACACCACTGCAAAGAATAACAAAGCTGACAATGCTCCTGAGTGTAAGTATAAAAAAATAGACTTGGGAAAACTAGCCAGAAATGGCTGTGATCAATATTCATATATATTTAATGAATATTCATTATGGGATCCATGCATGTGAACAAAATAGTGATATAAAGTACAGTTTACCTTGATTAGAATCTTCTTTGGGTTGTACCCAGAATATTTCAATCTTTATTATTTGAAAATTAAATTTTCAGAGGGAAATTTAATCTTGGAAAAAAAAATCAGAGGGCGAAATCAATTATTTGGATTGAATTTGGAGGGGAATTAGTGTTAAACTTGAGTTACTGCAGTTATAGGACTTGTCCTGCAGTTTGCATCTCTGAACATGTTATGGACAAAAACCAAGATATATTCAAATGCACATGTGTTATGACACATAGTTTGTCAAGTTCTGTCATCCAAGTATCACAGAGTTGGCATGGTCTTCCTGTTTTGTCGTCCATGTTGGGTACTTCAGTGATTAATTAAAACTGTACCGCCCTCCATAGACCATGCGCAGACCAAATGTGTGCACCGGTCTCCCGTTTTCTTCTAATTGGTGAATGTACTTTTTTGTTCCGTCATTGCACGGTGACCCCCGCGTTTACTTTGCCACAGTGGCAGTCACTCGGGACAGCTGCAAAAATCATCCCAAGCTAGTGCGATTCAAGTTCGCTACAACTGGCAAACTGTCATGTAATGGCCTTGAAAGCAGAACAGTAATACACTTTCCTTTTTATGAGCAATTTGGACAAGTTTATGAATCATATTGTACAGATCTTTTCCTTTGCAGAATAACCATGCAAAAATGTGAGGGTGCATCTATACATGCCAATGTCATTATTGTACATAATTAAGCACGAAAATAATTTGTGTATTATTAACCGATATATATTTTTGTCATTTGTTATGTTTGCCATGAGACTAACAACTTTCACATGTACTGTGAATGTAACTGTGGATATCTTGACCTTTGCAATACTCATGTTTACACTGTCTTGATATGTTTGGTTATTAACCGACTCACATAGTAAGAGAAATATTCACTGTGAGTCATGGCAGGCCCAGCAGTTATTAATTGACCGACAGAAAATATTAATTGCAGTATGGTATGTGTACAGTGGCAAAGTGAACAGGCTAAGCCATTGACACAATCGTAGAGCAAGTCACGCTGTAGACATTCACAACATTTTATGGAACAGCTGTGCTGTATTTCTCTGCTAATGACATGTACCCTAGGCAGTGCTAGCAGTAGTGTAAATGTAGTATCATTTATTAATAAATGTAATTCTTTATTCATAAATATCTTAGACAGTTTCCCCCATTCAACAAAGGGCAACATGGCCGTGTATTGATAATACCCCCTGTGATAATGCCCACTACGTAAAAAAGGGGCTGGAACCTGGGTACGAGATAGTTTAATCCATTCCTATTGGTCAAGAGTCCGTGTGCACTGCGGCATGCCGAACTCACCACATGCATGCATGCCAATTACATGTTAGTCCATATAAGGAGATTCTTCTGGACTACTTGCATAAGGAATACCATCAAATGGACGGGGGTGTTCGGAAAATGAAACTAATATTCTTGAACAAAATCCTTGGAAATTTAGTGTTTATTGACTTCTTATGACTCTCTGACTAAAACTGTATTTACAAATAGTATAAATATGTGCTTGGTGAGTCCGAGACCGGCCAAGTGCATAATCATTGCAGTGACCAGAGTATGAACACCAGTTTGTACTGAGTATGAAAATGGGCATGAATTTGTGAGGTTGCAGTATTCACAGTGCAAATTTCCCAAACAATCGAGCACATATCGACCTTGGGAAATTCTGTTTGCTACTGATCTAAAATTTGATTTGCTTTGACCTTAAGTTTGAACCGGGCAGAGTTAAGTTTGTTGGTCACAGTTTGATAATGACAAAAGTGATAAAGACATTTTGGTCTGTCTGCAATACCCCTTGCTTCAGGCCAAATAAGGAAGAGTGTCCGATTCATTCTGTTTGCGGCTTAAACAACAGTAATATACGGGCTTTGGTCAACCACAATGCCATCAGTGTATATCAGCCTCTACACTTTGTAAAACGATGTGCAGATATGCAGGTACATGTACGTGTAGACCTCGGATGCACTTGATGGTTAGTCCTCCAGCCTCACCGATGGCCTAGTGTGCTTTTTGCTCAGGAAATCCTGTGCCTGTGCTGTGTTGATGATGACCAGGTGTCCACTTCCTGCAGATCCACCGACGAAACATTGATCAAAGGTTGTGGAAAGAACTGCAGAGGAATAAAAAGTAACTCGCCTTTTGACGTGTGTGCCGCGGTATCCTGTGGCTTGTACGTGCATCACTCATGTTGCAAAATGGTGAACTTGCGAGCCGTTGAGCAGATGTGTGGGGCCACGGGGCCACAAATTTCCTCTTAGGTTGCTCCAGAAAATGAACATTGTTTCAGGAATGGAATAGGCAGTGAAAGATAAACATACTGTACCAAAGTATTTGTACCATTATAAGCTGATCCAGCTAACCATGGTTAGCAACTCTTTCTGCAGTGGTACAGTGTAACTCAGTTATGCACAAGTTGCGTGGCACACAGTAGAGGATATGTGCAGTGAAGGTCTTCTTTAAAAACTGACTCAGTTGTTATGCATTTTTAAACTCTTCTGCAGTGTATGAAAACTTTTTCCGGAAGACTGAGAGTGCTGTTGCTGTATGCAAATCACGGAAGACACTGTTCACTTTACAAGCTTTCATGTTCAAATTTTATGCCCCAAATTTGCTCGATGAAAACATTTCTGAGAAGAGTTTGCCTTCACAGTTACTGCTGTACACTTGCACAACAAATCTCAAAGAGGTAGAAATTTTTGATTGCAAATCATAACAAAAATCAAGTAGTTTTTTGTGCGCAAATCAATGCAGCATTGGAGTAAAGTGCATTGGACCACATCACAGTTTTGGCACGAATGTACAAATTTGCATTAGCATGAAAACCAGTCAGGCTTGTAAAATACCAACTGAAATAACAAAGCAAAAATGGAAAATGAGACGCAAACGCAAAGGTGCATCACTTCCAGGCTTGTTGTGAAACAGTTGTATTACAGCTCCCCTCAAGTGCCTCCTTGGCCAACTTGAACAGGTTGATGTACAGGTAACTTGCCAATTTACTCGTGCAGCTGAAGATCAGGAACACCGGCAACATGAAATTGGGGTGCCATGGTGTTGATACCATTACCTTGGATTAGGTTTTGTGCAGTTGCTACTAAACATGGAAGGTTTTTGCTCAGCAACAGCAGGTCAAGGTTGCACTCTGACTTGTGCAGGGGAGTATTTTGCACAGGGCAAAAGTGGAAATGTTCCTGGTGCAACACAGCACGTAATTATTCATAATGTGTATACGAACCCAAAAATTCAGTCAATGAAATGGGATGCAATGGGCTGTGCCATTCCCTAATAATTTCACTTTTATTTATTGAAAAAGTACACACTTTATGCATAATTCTGCACTTCATTACAAAATGATATATTTCCACTCTGACATACATGTAGCTGTAGGTAATATTGGCTCTTTAAAAAAGACTGTTAGTAACTTCGCTGAGTAACTTCCCTGAGTAATTTCCCTGAGTAACTTCCCTGAGTAACTTCACTCTTTTTGTGGCAGTTTTTCACTGTAGGAGGGAAAGTGTTGTCCATAATATGGCTTTTCAAAGAGTGTTTTTCACATTCAAAAGAGCAGCTCAGGTCCTAAAACTCTACCCTCCGGCAGTTCCTGGTTTATTAGGTCTTTACATGTAGTCAGTTTGAAGACTTGACCTTCCTGGAAGAAAAAAGACCTGTAGTTATATGGAAATCCCTATTAAAAATACCCCAAACATGCATATAAAAAGCATTGCTTTTCATCACTAAGGTTACTGTTGAATGCCTTTTACATGCCCATTGTTCAAACGCTGTAGATTGATTGTCCCAGCCCTTGGCTTTCATTGAATTTTTCTGTGGTCTGTTGGCTCAGGTGTGCTTTAGTCTCCCCCTCCCACATCCACGAAAGTTGCCCGTATCATTCCCAGAAGGATACAAATAAACTTCGGAAAGCCCCATTGAACTTGTAAAATGTGCATTAGAGCAAAGTGTGTGTGGTCTGGCAGGGATATTGGACAGACAGAAATCAGCATTTGATAATTCGGAATTCCAGGTGCCTAAAATGTGTATGTGGGTCAAAGCTGAGTCAGTGCAAATGATGGAATATTCAAATATATATTCGACTATTTGGCCTTCCCGTCTTTTGAATGTTCGATCATACCAAATTGCTTCAGAAGCATTTGTGGAAACTCAGTACGTAGGCCTTTCACACTAGACAAATCTCGGGGGTTGGCGCAGCATTGAGGCAGGGTTGAAAACTGGCAAGATTCACGGTTGATCATTTTCAACCCCACGCAAACCTTGCATCAACCCCGAGATTGACTTCAACCCGGGTTGGAAAATTGTTGGTACTCATTTCCAGGTTGAATGTGCCCTGACAGGCTCGGTTTGCACAAAACATGAGTGAAACAATGAACACAGGGTGGAAGTATCAACTGTTTAGCTCAGGGTGGTCACGGGTTCGCCCAGGGTGGAGTTCAACCCAGCTTGAGAGGCTGTATGAGAGCCTAATGTTTTGTGGTGGTCTGCCTTGTTGAGTTTACTGGACAGTGGTCCACTCCCTACTTCAAGGAGGAGGCTTGGAGTCCAATATAGTGATTCCTGATTGCTTATTTATTTCCTTAATCCCAGCAAGATCACACACCACAGAAAAGAAAAAGTAAAACTGGAGGAAAAGTTAACTTGTATTGCCTTGAAATATGCTTCTAGAGTGCAATTTGGTTACCAAATATTGATATAATCAATTGAAATTTGGCACAGCCCATAGTGGGTTTATCAGTTGTTGTGACTTTTGATGAGTTGTTTCAAAAAAGTAAAAAGTGACCATTGTAGCATAGTCACCTCCACCGGATACTCGGTAAAATGCCATCAGGACTATATTGCTGATGCTGGCATGAATTGGATTAAATCAAAGATCAGTTTTTCTGGATGGATTTAGTGTAGAGGCAACATGTGAGAGTGAAAGTCACCCAGCAAGATTTTGTATCGATTTCCAGGGGGGCGTAAGGCATTTGGCCCAAATACTGTTATGTGTAATATTTTGATGAAAAACTAATGAAGTGAAGTTTGGCTACCCGTTTGAGGAAGCTACATGCAGGGATTCAATTGCAACCCGTTGAAGCTAGTTGGAATTGTTTCCCCTACAAGATTTCAAAAAGCACCAAGCAAAAGTGCTGAATCAATTACTTATTGCTGATGAAGCACACCAAATAGTACAATGGGGGAGGCATTTCAGATAATTGGTAGAGGCGGAGCTCACCAGTCCCAGGTGACCAGTCTGGTATCATTTTCATCATTTTAAGCATGCGCAAGTCAGCTTGAAAGTGGTACAAACAACAAAAAGGACCAGTTTTTGGCGCTACCCTGTGCTTCAGTAGTCCCCTATCAAAGGATGAATTCAGATGTGAATGTTATCACAGGCTGTAATAACATTTTGCCAAAATTTGTCCATTGATTTTGTCAGACGTGTGACAAAAATCTTGAAGGGAAAACCTCACTGGTTAAAAAAAGAGATTATTAGAAAAAAAGAAATATGACGCTACTGAGTCATTCAATAATTTGTTGTTTTTCTTCCTGTTTGAGGGGACTGAAACAATGAGTTGTTTTCAGTGGTCCTTGCCACACATGCATGACGCTCATGATGCTGCGGCTGTTACAGGGAGGACTGTTTGTGCAGCAAACTGAAAGTGCTTCAGGTTTCGTTGGTTTGGAAACTTGGCCCCATTTCTGTTAAAATAGAAAATGAAATTTGTCTTTTCGGTTGAAAGTTCTCATCGGCTCTTCTATACTGTCTGGATCCCAGGATGCAATTGGAAGAAAAGCCATTGGAACAGCGATGATAATTATGACAAATTTTGGAGTTCGGGGATAAGGAAGTAGTGAAAATTTATACATATATTGAGTGGAACGTGTTGGTTTTTTTTCACAAAGCTTTACAATGTACATGTAAGTTGGACCAGAGCCAAAGAATTTTTGTTGTCATGGGAAATCCCAAAATATTCTGGTGCCTTGAGTGCATGTACTGTAAGAAATTTGTTGAAAATATTGTCTGGCTGCCGTGTGTGTTTGCTTGTGTTAACTTCTTCTTGGTCAAACTAGTTTTTAATACAGTCTAATTCTTGTTTGGTGTATCGATGAAATCTGAGGGTGACTTATTCATCACAAATAATGTGTAGAGGTTGTGCGTAGAAATAGGAGGAAAAATCTCTGATTTGCATGCAATAGGAAAACAGATTTTGTCATAGAAAGCTATGTGTTGTTCTTAGAAAGCATTCTTGCTGGAGGCAGAGGTTGAAACCTGTGAATGAGTTAAATGCATTCCATGGGCCTTTACATTGGTTTTATCAAGAGTAGATGCATTAATGGCCAGCCTTCATTGTCCATTATGGCAGTGATGGTGATTAGAATGAACAACTCTTCCACACACATGTAAGCCCCTAGTTTTCGCTGGGTCGGTTTCACTTCTGGGTTTTATTATGGTGGGTTTTTTGGTGGCAGTGTTTGGTAATATTTCCTGTTATGCATCCTACACACTAGCTTGCGGCCCACTGGCAGTTCAGCACACCTTTCTTTCTGCTCTTTTCCAAGTTTGAACATTTGACCCTTTCATGTTTGTGGTGCCAATCAGGATGAATCAAAGTGTCATTTTTTGACGTTGCCATAAAAAAAATATCAGTTAGCCAACTGATGGCTCAACAGAACATTGAAAAATATTCGCACTAATGCACAACACATGCATTTTAAATATTAACCTGTTTGCACCGATTTTTTAATTCCTTTTTGGCCGTGCCTATTTTAGTATCCAAGGGGAAATATACTTCTGTATATGTATATGCTCCCTACCCCGGTTTGACCAGTGTCCTGTCTGAATTGTGGAGTGCTAGACTTTTGATATGCGCTCAACTCCTTCTACAAATCATATTTTTAAACAGAGTGAAATGAGCCTGGTTTGAATCTCACACATCTCGAACACCACATCAGCTATTAAATGCTAGGTTTGTGTTCCATCCCAGTTCAGCCATGCTCCTAAATTGTTAATGTGTTATTCATGAAGTAGGTACATGTACATGTATGTAGCAACATCAGTGATACTCTAAACCTGAAAGTGAATGGAGAATCACTCATGAAGATAAAAGTTCTTTTTTTTTTTCAAATTATGAGTTCACAGTCAGTTTCCCTTTTCGATTTTGTGCTGGCTTTTTTTTCAAATTATGAGTTCACAGTCAGTTTCCCTTTTCGATTTTGTGCTGGCTTTTTTTCACATACATGTATGAAATATGCAAGACCCTCCTGAACAAAACTGAACTGTTTTCTCGCGATGAGTGACTGACTGTTTCTCAACCCTCCTGCAGGATTTGCTGATTCGCACTCCCCCAGCCCACGAGGACTATTCCATTCTTGCTCAGGTGTTGGAGAAAACCCGGACATTCTTCAAGCAAATTGATGACGCCACTAGAGAAACAGACACTTCAAAGCAGGTCTGTGAAAAATGAAGATTTTTGGGGTCGCAACTCAAGATGAGATATTGGTTTCCCAAGAGAACATGGCTGCAAGCTTTTTCTATCAACAGCTTGCGATATCTGTCAATGTCACAACCGTAACTGCATTCATAAACCTCAACAGAACTATTTAACATAGATTCCTTTGTATTCGTGCCATATTTTAATCGGAAATCTGCCAGTTGGACTGTCAAGATAGCAGAGACAAAAATCTACCACCCCGGATGTGAGTTTAAAATAAAAACTTTTAGGTTTCCCTGTGTGGCAAACTGGAAGATTGGGAGGGGAGATCCCATATCCATTTCCTTCGTTTGGCATTCAGAGGCCGAGGTGGTTGAAGAACCTCAGAATTGTGACCCATGTCTTCCCCTGTCCACCCTTGTTCATCCAAGCATTTGTCCGTTGAAGAATATCAGTTGTCTAACAGAATAAGCTCTCTTGGCAATCTTTTGGCTGGGGAGGGGGACTTCTGTGTGTTGCTTTACTTGCCTACAGAAGATAGAATACAACGGGAACAAAGGATGTTCCTCCGTCCTTTCAGTGGTCAGCTTGTGCTCAACTAGTATACTCAAGAGTTTTATACTGAAGGAACAGTGAAAAGCACAATACTTTATCTACCCACTGGGTTTTTTGTTTTCTTTTTTCAAAATTCAAAATTTTCAATTTTCCCCTTGAGAATTTGCATTACGGTATTGATTGTAAAATCGGCTTGAGGATTTCCAGCACCCATCCCTTGCCATCCAGAGACACTGATATCTGGATACTTTTTACTTCTACAGAAGAGGCGGCTGATCAAAGAGAGCTACTTGGTGGAGTTCAGTGAGGAACGGAAGCTGAGGCACGTGCTGCTGTGGTCGGACCTCATCATCTGCGCCAAGGAGAAGCCCGTCAGGTGGGTCAGGCCATGGCCTAGAGATGCAGCTTAAAGCTGGAAATAACACTGTGGCTGTGGGTAGCCTCTGGCTAGCAACTGCAGCCACTCACCATAGACCTGTGCATCATGCTGAGCCGCAGCCGGTTTTATTTGGACATGGCTGTTTCTATTCTTCCACAGGCCAACTTGGAGCTCAGTGCACAAACTGTGCCCAGCAAAGACTTTTTTTTTTGCTTGGTGAAAACAGAGCATTTTTGCAGTGGGTGCTGGTCCTCTGCACCTTCTTGTATGACAGCACCTTTAAAATTGCACCTAAATCACATTTCCAGTCACACTGCAGTTTGTAATTGGGACAGTGCTAAACACTCATAAATTTATGTAGTGGGGATGGACAGAGGCAAAGTGGCTTAAATGATTTAAAAAGTACAAATCACATAACCAGTAAAAATATTTTAAGAAAGGATGCTTTAGTGTTGTCATGTGGTCACTTGCTTGGTCCAAAACGATGATTTTTATCACGAGATTGGAAGGACAAATTCCAGGAGAGTAGTACACATGAAGGGAAAGAATAAAGGAGCTTGCAGTGAAAGAAATTTCCCAAGTTGATGTCAAAAGTATTGGCACACCCCCCTTTGAGGGATTTTCTTTCCTGTTCCATCTTGCCACCTTCCCCCCTCAAGATTTGCGACACTCTGATGGTATCCTACAGAGAACAAGCGTCACTCTAACTTCTTAAGTAATGTGACTCCATACTGTTGTATGAAGATGAATGTCAGAAGTCAACAGAAACAGAAGACAGAACCCACCCCAAGCATGCTTAATGTGATACCACTTGTAACATTGCAACAGTTGAGGGCAAAGCCTTCATCTGTTAAAAGAGGAAAAAAGAACACAGTCTCTGTCGAACATGCACAGATCTGAACTTTTAAAGGAAACGTTTCCATTTTGTTTTCCTCGAACAGTGGCATGTTCCACCGCGAAAAGGCCCAGTATGACTGTCAGTGGTACATGCCGTTGACTGAGCTGTCGCTAACACCCAACGAGAGATCGGAAGGTTGGTAATCAACTTTGGCCAGCCTGCTGGCCCATCTTTCCATCCCTCTAGAACCTAATGCCAGACAAAAGTTGCTGGAGAGGCCTCTAGTTACAGTGCTCTTTTGAGTAGGTTGTGTCAAAACACGGCTTGTTTTGTGGTCTCCCTCGGCAGTGTTATCGATACACAAAAGAAACAGGAAATGGAGGATGTTATGTAAGCTTCCGCAAGGGCTTCATTAACGGGCAAGCCCTTGAATGAGGTTTGAGCCAGGTCATGGGGTTATAAATGAAGCTTTCGTATTGGTTACATGACCAAGCAACTAATACTGTAGTGAGTAGATGTCAGCTCAACACACATAGTAAGAAAAGCTTGAGTCTCAATATAGTGAAATATTAATTGCCGTCAAACCAAGCACCTTGCATGGGCGGAAATCTCTCCTTGATCATGGGGGGACATCAATTTACACTTTTTTTACAGTGTTTATTATCTTACTCCATTTATAAAAACTCAAAAAGGAAAATCCTCAATCCATCAATTTCATTTAGTATTTTGTTTTGCTTAAAACATGGAGGGGACATTCGACATTGTGTTCCCCCATACCAAATTCACGGGGGGGGGGACATGTCCCCCCCCAGATTTCCACCCATGCTCCAGTGTGGACGGAACATGCACTCCCCATTGTAATTCTCTTGAATGATGTTCAACTAGCTTTAACTTGTTCTTTTGGACCTGTTTCTGTGTTTGTGTGGACAGTCCCGGGCAAAATTACCAACATGAGTGACCAAGAGCTGGATGAGCTCAAGAAAGCAATCACCGATCTGAAGGCCTCCATCCGCAAAGAGACCAACTCAGGAGTGGTAAGCCCTGTGACCCTTTAAAACAGATGGAGTGTGGTTGTTAATACCAATATGGTAGCCGCCGGATAACCAGAAATCTTTTTTTGTGTGGGGTTTGAAACAAGTCTCAAGAATTGGCAAATCCTGGATCTTTCAGCATAATAGGGGAAATTGCAATGGTGGAACAGACATTAGTAGAGAAAAATAGGTATTCAGCTCAATGGCCTGTAAATCTTCGCCCTTTTGTTAACATTAGAGCAGTTGACAAACCTAACCAGTCTGTATTTTGCCAAAAGAGCCATGTGCATACCCAATTGTGAAAAACCTCGTGCAGTGCATAATACATATGCAGTTCAGCAACCTTTCAATAGTAAACACTTCTTACCATATTTAACAGGGCGGCCTTTAATGTCAAGGATGTGTAAAATAACTGCACCAGCTGGTACCCTGCCGTTTAACCCATGTATGTTTTGTTTCCTTCCCTGGTCTCCCACTGTCTGTTTCCTCTCCTAGCCCTCAAGTCCCGGTGGGTCATTCCGTCTTCAGACCAGCGGCAGGGTATGCCAGAAAATCCCCCCCCCCATTAAAAAACCTTCCAAGCACCTCACAGTCACTTAGCGCTGGTTGCTGCGTTGCTGTCTCTAACAAACTACCCTTTCACTAGTAGTCAAATTAACACAGTGTCTAAGCCAGGCCCACAAAGACACTCAGAGGCCAATGGCAACAACTGCAGAATCAACTGAAATGCAATCCGTGCATCAGTTTTTCTGAAAGAGGCACGCGCGCAAGGACTAAGCTGTCGAGGTTGGGCATTGAGCCAGTTTGGTCTTCAACAACCCATGCCCAAAATGAAGCATGCCAACAGTTATTTGTGAACAGCAACAAGTGTGCAAAGTCTGGCCTATTAGCCTGGCCCCAGCTGGCTCCCTTGTGTACACTGTTGGAAATACTTTGGGTCAGCTAATGCAGATGTTATCATTTGCCTTTGAGAAATGCATAGTAGGTAGAAATGTACCTGTAGCCAAAGGGCCAGTTCACTGGTTATTCGTTTTAGCTGTCCTTGTACATGTAAAACCCTATTACCACCCAAAAGAGACAATCTCAGTGATTCAAACTGATCTGAAATAGAGGTGAATGACTACTGAAATATTTCCTTTTGGCATGTATTTTCAGTGCTACTAACATAACCCACTCCCCAAAACAGAATAACACTAAGCACTATTTTTTGCTGAATTTTACTCGAAATCAAAAGCTTTCACTCATTATAACGTCTAGTTCAACAATTATCTCTAATTCTGATGAATTCTAGCTTTGCTGTCTTTGTCCATAACAAATTTTAAGAGCCAGTATTGAAAACTTTTACTTCACCCATGTCCTTTTTCAGCAGGGTTAGCTTCAGCTTCAGTGCCTCCAATTTTTGTGCCTTTAAAGGTGCTTTAAAATGAATTTACGGAGGAATTCAGCTGAGCAGGCTGAAAAGAGTCGTTTGTCCATAAAGCTGTTAGTTAAACCAGTATGAATTATCTTCGGTATCTCAATTGGGTGTCCTTTGATCCTTGCTTACTATTAAAAGTTGGTACAATGTACTATGATGCTTCTAACCAATTTTCACCAGAATGTGTACAAACAGGTCTCAATATTTATTACAGCCAACATGGCCACTGGCCATTTGCCTACCGGATTGAACGCAGTGCTCTTTAAAAATACTGTTCAGGCAAAACACATCAAGTCATTTACAGTAAATATGCATGCACATGTGATCTCAAATTGTATTATACCATAAATATTTGTTTGTGTGAGGGTGTTTAGAGTCAAATAAAACAGTTGTCACAATTCAGTAGATAAGCTCGACTTTTCCCCCAACAATAACCAACTTGCACTGCGTGCACAGTTAAGTGGAAGCACACAAAGTGATGCAAGCATGGTACAGTGACTGCTGCTGCTATAAATAATGAGAAAGACTTGGAGGGACCGGTGGGAAGTGATCCCCACGACAATGTAAAGCACGCTCCGAAATTCAAAAACCGTTAACCAGGAAACAGTCTCCAATTTTGGAAATATTTCTGCAAGTTTTAGTTCAAGGAACTAGATTCAATTCCCAGTGCAATTTTCCAACCAGCAATCACTAGACTGACGCAGCAGTAGCCCCTCTGTGTGGGCGTTCCATTCGCACTGGTGTACATCTGTGCTTTACAAAAACCGCTTTCCAAACTTTAGAGCATTGTAACAGAAATCATTTTACATGTTTTATTGCATCTGGCGCTTAATATTTGGAGTGCTGTATCAGAATATAACGTTTCAAATGAGAGTGCTGTAACCAGAGCTAAAAGGACACAATCAACAATGCCATCATTCAGATTTCAAAACTAGCTTGCCATTTTTTACCACACAATGTCAAACTTGACTGGACAAACTTTGAACAAGATGTCGATCTACAACTTTCTTTGATAGAGCAGGAACCAATCTTATTTTTTGTGTTTCAAATTTAAGAATTTAAGAAATTGGGCCAGTGACAAAGAGTAGAATTTATTTCAACTTGAGCAGATGTAGATGATGGGAGAGCTATTTTTGTACTGAATTGTTCACAGGTATTTACTGATTTATTTGGAGGAATTGTTTAGTTTTTTATTTTTCTTTACATTTATTTGCATGTATACTTACATTTACCAAGTTATAATTTTACTAGTTGTGCGAACTAACTATGCAATTATGCATTAACTTTGACTTAGTTTCACATCAGTTGACCTTGGTGCCCATTGCCTATGGCCTAGGTACCCCTTGAAGTTTTGATAACACCAAGGCCAAAGTAAACTACCCCCTCTATTTCCTGAATGTAGAAAGCCTATGATGACATCTGTTGTAGGGGAATCTTTCATTCAGTGGCAGTAGCATTTATTTGTCACCAAAGCCAGGAGCAACTGTTGACCCAATTCAGGGTTGCCTTTGTGCACCTAACACAGCTCAGTATAAATATGTGGAAATTTAACACTCTAACCTCCATAAACATGCAGTCTCTGTCTGTCCATGTACTGGGGCCTTCCCCTACAAAATCTCAGCTTTGTCTCTGGCTTCATGTTCGAGCTCCACACACAGTTAGGACTGGGTGTACATATGGGGTCAAATACTTGTGTTTGTATCTGTGACATCTGTACAGTTTCGTCAGTTTAGAACACTTTCAATTCCAAGAGTGATCAGGTAATGCAAATTACCAGCCAAACCAATAAATGCAATTTAAAGTCAATTTCAGCGATATTTCTGTGTCTATTTCACTGGTCAGTTGCGACAGGTACACCAAAAATATCACACATTTGGATGCCAAATTTATAGAATGACCCAGTGTCACATGATTACTGTCTGTGGTTGGTAGCAAAGTGACAGTACTCCAAACGTTAGCCTGGTCTTAGAAAGAGAAACATCTCTGTCATGTTTACAGCAGAAAGTGAAGCTCGTGTGCGTCAGATATTCTCAAACTGAGACTGCATTCATGAAACTAAAGCCAAACTCAGACACAGCTGGGAATCCCCAAATCCCCCATTCTGGTGGAATTGAACTATACTAACTTCTTGGTACTGATTACGGTCTCGGCATGGGGCAATTTTTGTCCCAGCATTAGCATGTGGACTAACTTTGACAAAAGTCAATTTCGATCAAGTTGAGACCAGAATGTGCCTTGCTTGATAACTTTGTCCAAACATAAGGATAGTATCTATTCAAATCAAATGGAAGATCTGACACCTGTGTTTTGTATTTGACAGATCTCAAATCATCCTTTTTTTTTCTTTTATACCAGAAACTTTTTTGTAACAGAAAGATTGACAATCACAGATTGAATCATCACAGTTGTCTCCGGACTAAATTGTTTACTTGTTGATATTTTTTAATAAATTTTGTGTCTGTCGATTTACAGAGACAGAGCAAGCAGCTGACCAAGACATTGGAAGCCAAGAAGAAAGAGCTGACCACAAATGTAAATCTACCATTTCTTGGTTTTTTTTACAACTGATACTGCTTTTGCACAAATGTCCCCTCCCCCTCCTCCTTGTGCTAGCTGTACACATTGCTGCAACTTGTGTGTGGAATGTCGAGGTCGACAGAAACGACATTTCGGTTTGAATAAGTCTTTCCTAGTTTGGCTCTCAATCACTTGCTTCGGCAGTTACACATCCCTGCCGAGTTCAGAAAAACATTGAAGCTGCATGGTTACAAATCAGAATGGCGTGTGGGGGTTTAATGAGTGTGACAATAAGGCCATGTCTCGTGTCTGTGGCTTGAAATTAAATGCAATGCTATGGTACTGGCTGCAGCCAGTTGTAAGGAAGAAGGAGTCAGCTTATAAATTATTGTTTCAGATTAGCAGCTTTGTGAACTGTGACCCCGGGTATCTGCACCACCTCAGCCACTGACAAAATTGTTAGGAGTGTCTGACCTCTCATCCAATATGATTTCTCGATAATATGCACCAACATAGGACAGTTTTAAAGTTTCTTTCAAGATGAAGTGTTAACCCAAATTGAATTAAAGTCACACAAATAATTTGTTTTGTTTCTTCCCACAGGAGGGCAAGGTCATCATAGAGTCACCCAAGCTACCTCTGCATCTCTACCATCACCAGGGGAAGGTAAAGCCATCTCCAAATCAACTGGCTGCAGCTAGGATGAATGAATGCGGGCATCTATGTTAGTTGTCTACAGCTGCTAGCAAGCGATTTGCATAGGCACATGCATTATTCCCAGCCCCAGTCATAAGATTGGGAGGCCCAGATCATCTAAGTAACAGCAACAATGATGCCTGCCTGTTGCCAGTTGAATGTGCATATGATCATAGCATGATTTGCATTTCCAAATCTTGAGGACCTTTGTATATGCCGACACCATACCTTGTCAACAGTCCTGGGTCCTGAATCCAAATTATCTTAGATGAAACCTTCTCTTGTAATAATAAAAGTTGCTAAAAAGCCAGCCACATGACAGTACATAATCTCTTTTTCGCAAGAGGCTAATTTCTAAATCAGCTATGGTTTTGGCCATGCTGATTCCAGGGTGAGATTGCAATCAATCATTTCTTCATTGCTTTGCTACAGACATACACCTTGTTGATGTCCTCGGACTATGAGCGTTCAGAGTGGAAGGAGGCCATCTTGACAGCCAAGCGAGAATGCCGAGTCACTCCGTCACTCACTCCCTACCACATTGAGAAGCTACTCACCAAATGCAAGAGGGTGAGTAAAAGAGAAATTTGGGGGGGGGTGAACATTTCTTGTTTTGTTTTAGCTTGCAGTCAATTTCAGAAACTGTACTTTCTGATATCATACTTAACAAAGAAAAACTGTAAAATATGAATATATAGAAATAGACAGATACTTAGTCATTCCATAAGAGGTTTTGGCTGAAGTTAGAACATGTAATTAATAGGCTTATTCTCACTGACTTTTGAAAATGAATGTTTGTCTCCACTGAATAAAACTTCATGAAGTTGATAGTTTCTTTATCTTTGACAGGGCCGAAAGATCAACAACATTGGATCTATCCTAATCAAGGATGGTAAGTCAGGTTTCATTTTAATGAGAGTTACACCAAACCCTTTTTTTAACTTCAAAAATGAATATAGACCTAAAACGTAATGCCGTCACATTTTGTTTACACGTGCACTTTCCTATGGGGCTTAATGGAGTGCGTTCCACTGCTGTAGGAAAAGGCATGTGTAAACAAAGCATGGTGTCACTATATTATAGGCCTGTTGAGCCAAGATCTGGGTGTGTTCTTTCCTGTTCTCTTCTTTTTTTTTTTTTTTCTGATGACCAACAGCGGTTGCCCGCCACTTACAGGCATCCATGAGAAATAGATAAAATTTCTGAATTAAATAATATACACATAACTTAGACAAATAACCACAACAATAATAAAAATTAAAACACATCCTAAACTTGGCAAAGTCTTAAACACCAGTACCGGCCTGAAGAAGAGCGGGATATGCATGTACAGAGGGGGGCGGGGGCAATAGAGAGGGAAGGAGGGAAAGGCAAAAGGATGAACAGCACATGTACATGGAACATGGGTGTGGGAACAAGGAATGGAGGCAAGGGGGACAAAACACAAGGGATAAATACTGGGGAGACCAGAGAAGGCAAAGATCAAAGGAAACAGTAGTCAAAGTTGAAGAGTGGAGATGTGAGGGCTAAAAAAGGGATTACAGGGATGGAAAAAAAAAAGCAGGAGTAAAGGTATCACTCTAGAAAAGAATCATAGGGCTGGATAAACACAAAGTCTTAAACAATACATATATTGATTTTGATCCGCTTCTCAGAGGAAGAATTGCTGTTTGGGACGCTGCACGTGACCGTTTTACAAGCAATGGGACTCAAAGTGCCTGCTCGTATGTATCCCTACAATCTTGATTCCTTCTTGCCAATTATGATTACCAGATAGTTACCAAAATAGTTCTCAGTGTGGGTTTACTTGGGCCTGTCTGAAGGATGTTAGTAAACCCACCCATGAGCAGCTGTATTGCACTGTATGTTAATGTAATTACATTTTATTTATACCCAGATGAACCCGTGTAGTCAAACAGTGCTGGGGTGGATTAGGCTTGTATAGGGATAACAGAAGGGGTGATTTAGGGTGGGATAGGGACTGAAGGATCGGGTCCCAGACTAGTGCCCTTTGTAATGTACTTTTGCCATGTTGTGTCTGCAACTACCAGCATATGAAGAGAGCATTCCAGTTGACACCCTATGCCTCATGTGACAAAGTGCTGCAGTCAGCTGAGTGGGGTGCCAGCTCATTTCCACTGATGCGTTTCCTGTCATTCTCAACCCAAATAGGAAGTTCGTATGGTATCATTCAATAGCCTATGCACTTCCTGCACATCATTCACAGATGACTTAAGGGATGTTTTCACAATGGTGGTTTCCCCATTCAGAGTATTCTACTGTTTTTTCTTTTTTGCGATGGGTCAGTGCTGTATTTGGTAGTAGGCAGTCATCTGGCACAAATTCATACTGATAATGCACAGGCCTATGCGGAGTGCCTGTAGCAGTTGGTTAGCAGCCACCACAGCGGTACATGTCATGTCCAGCCTTAGCCATGCAAGTTGGACACTCGTATGTAATGGAGTTGACTGTGACACAGGCTAGAAGGATGCCTCGCAAATCAACTCCAGCATTCTCCACATAGAGCTGGCCATAAGGGTTTCCCATTAAATCTGTTTTCCGACAGAGTTGTACTGCTGTGTGGAGGTGGATTCCTATGGCATCATCTCCCTGCGAGCCCGGACCCGGAAGTCGGAGAACTCCAAGACGCCCACCTGGAATCAGGAGTTTGGCCTGGAGGTGGAGGGGACGCAGACGCTGCGCATACTGTGCTACGACTACACCAAGGGGCTGGAGGACGAGATGATCGACAAGGGAGCCAAGACGGTGAGTCTCAACGTCAGTCAGATGTATCGGCCGGACACCAGATTCTGGTGCTGCATTGGTGCCCCCGATGTAAATATATCAGGGCTGAGATTTGTCAGGATTTTTCATGATTTTCATGAACAGTCTTTTTAAAGTTTGGAAAACCTGAGTTTGCCATTTCTGTGTTTCCGATATGACAGTTGATGTAGTACGTAAGAAATGGGTATTTTAAGGGGTGCTGTTTTGGAAAACATGAATATATGCCATAGACCTCATGTTTCTGAGAGACCCTCAAAGACTCTGGTGATTTTCTCGTGGATTTTTCAATTTCTTCTGATCTCACCCTGGTCATCCAGGAGCACAGGTACTGATGTGGTTAGCAAAAATACTTGGCGTTCATAAATAAAAGACAAGCTTGAAGTTAAGTCCAGGTTGCTGGGTAGGATGAAAGTTAGATCGAGTCTGTGTTTGATGTGGTTGGGTGGATCGGTTTAGTGAGATCAGCTAGGGTTTTGAGTCTCCAACAGGTTAAAAGTAGACATTCATAATGTGAAATACTTAATATCACTTTGCCGCATCACTTTTAACTTTAACATTAATTTGGTTGATTTCTACAGCTGTCAAAATCAGAGATTGGCAAGAAGGAATTTAACACTACCATCAAAATGGAGAAGGTAAGAATATATGAATTCACTTCAAAAAAAAATGATGACACAAGGTTGGTGACAAGACAAGGGTGTCGTTACTTTGCTAGAGTAGCCTGATAGTCTACCCCAGCAAGAGAGATTATCAGTAGACACTGCTTCAATGAGGATATATTGTCCTCTGTCAGAACCAGAAGATTTTCATTCCTACTCAAATCCGGGCACATGCTTATTGTCCACGTATGGAAGGCCCCCAGGAGTCTATGATTGGTCAGAAACACTATCCAGGGGAAGCTCATTGGTGCCTTAGCCAGCAAGTTGCTCTCAGCAATACAGAAAAGATGCCCTCAAGAGGCACAGTTAAAGTGGACACAACTTATGAAATATTCATTTCAGAAATAGCCCACTATATTAAATAAATAAGGACATTCGTGATGTGGTTAGAGAAAAACTGGCTATTGCAGGGAGAATACTTATGGGTCATTCCAGAAATTAGGGGTCCACGTTTTTGGTATCCCTGTCACATCTGACATATGATTTTGTAAGATCAGAACACATTTTCTAATTTCCAAGAGT